TCCCTGACCAGGGATTAAACCCGCACCTCCTGCATTGGAAGACAAAGTCTTAACCACTGGACTGCCAGGGACGTTCCAATAAAATATATTCTTTAAAAAAAAAAGAAAAAAAGAAAGACAGGCCTTGCTGCCTCTGAGAGTTAAGGTTAACTAAATGTTACTTAATAAAGCATTCTAATGTTAGGCTAGAAATGGTGATTGTATTTTAAAAGGTATTTATTTTTTCCCCTAAAAACACACTTCCTTTATTTAACTCCTTGGAGGTCCATAGTCTTTTTGGAGACTTGTGGCTCATTTTGCTATCAATGATCAATTCCCCATCTCCCAGGCCAGTCTGTCACCAAGTCTTTCCAACCCTTCCTTCAAAATGTACTCTGAATTCAGTCATCCCATCCCATTCTCTAATCCAGGCTTTCACCACTTTATCTGTGTGCCATGATAAGAAGCCTCTTCCATTCTCTCATATCCTCACATTCCAGGCTATTTCAACTGAACGCTTACCATTTTCATCATATTACTCCCTTGCTCAAGAATTCTTGACACTCTGCTGCTTCTGATCAAAACAAATTCTTTCATTGCACTCTGAAGACTGACTTGGTAATGCTAATTTACTACTATCTAAAACAAAGTGAGCGGCTGAACTGAACTGCAATCAAACTTTCTACACAAGACCCCAGCAAAACGCCCAGCTCAGACAGGGGCTTGGTAAATGTCAGGTTACACTTCCATAGTTCAGACCTCTGCTCCAGTTGAAGAGAGTTTAAGAATTTCCTGAACAAACTGTGCTCTTCCTGACTTAGGTTTTGCTCATGATTTCTGTCTGAAGGAGAAAAGAAGAATTGTTAAAAGATGTGTTGTTATTGTTGTTTAGTCACTAAGTCATGTCCGACTCTTTGCAATCCCCTGGACAATAGCCTACTAGACTCCTCTGTCCCTGGGATTATCCTAGGGAAGAACCTGGAGTGGGTTGCCATTTCCTTCTCCAGGGGATCTTCCCCACTCAGGGATCAAATCCACATCTTCTGCACTGCAGGCCCATTCTTTACTGCTAAGCCACCAGGGAAGCCCCAGAAGATGTGGAGCTTCCTTTTTTAAACACCTGGTTTCCAGAAATGGTATCTTTCCTACACTCTCTTTCTATACCCTACCTGCCTTCAAGCCCAGCACGATTATCACATCACACAGCTGTACCGATCTGCTCTGGGTGACAGATTTTTCCCCAAATCTCTCTGCCTTTTAAAACCCATAGATAAAAAAAAAAAAAAAAACCCATAGATCTCATTGTACTTCTCTGTTGCAGAGCCCACCAGACTTTGACAGAGAGCTAGAAATACAGAAACTAAGTAAAACTCAGCTAATTAATAAGATCAGAAGCAGAGACACCCACAATCCACCAAGTGGATAACGAGTCGCTAAATAGTTGCAGCTCATTCATCCTATAAACCCTACCTTGACAAGAGGCAGAAGTGTGAGATGTAGGGGAAACACAAAGCTGCCTCGTGGTTTACACTTTGCTTTAACTCCAGAATCAGTCATCACAAACACAGGGGCTAGTTTAGTCCTCAGTTCATGTCAAGCATGATGCTAAATGCTTTATCTATATTATTGTTATTGCTTTAGTCACTAAATCGTGTCTGACTCTTTGCAACCCCATGGACTATAGCCCACCAGGCTCCTCTGTCCAGAGAGATTTCCCAGGCAAGAATACAGAAGTAGGTTGTCATTTCCTTCACCAGGGGATCTTCCCCACCCAGGGATCAAACCCACATCTCCTGCACTGAAGGCGTATTCTTTACCACTGAGCCACCTGGGAAGCCCTCTTTATCTATATAGTGTTATTTAATTCTTCCAATAACTCTGTGAGTTATTACTAGACACATATGGGAAACTGAAGTTCAGAAAAGTTGAGTGACTTACACAAGATCACACAAACCGTGATGGAAATGAATCTGGAAACAACCCCTCACTAGTTCCAAAGCCCTAGGCCCTTAACTTTTACACTAAATTGTCTCAGAAAAACATGAAGCAAAATAAAAGCTGACTAGAGGAATAAGCACTGAATTAGGCTCATGAGAAATGAACAACAGACAAAGATGTGACTTTTCTCGTGGACTCTCCTTACTCCCTACAATAAATTCAAAAATATGGAATTACTTTTTAAAATTTACTTGGTTTTCTCACTTATTATAAATGAGATGTTTTCCTTTGCTTCCCCCCTACATGTGTGGTCTATAGAACACATGCGCTGGAATTCAAAAGGCACGCACAGTGCATGAGATGGCAAGTGTTGCGTAGTGTGACACTCCACACACTCCTTACTCAAGAATTCGGAGGGAGTGCCCCAAGTGTCTGCAAAGCATCTTTCTGTACACTTGTAACTGCAGGTGCGTAGGAAATACAGATTGCTGGACTTCAGTCGGAACTTACTGCAGTAGGAGTAGGGCCATGGGACATAAATTTTTGATGAGTGCTCTCAGATGATTATTTTAAGAAAGATGGAGAAACAGGGAACTCTAGCTCCTGCCTTGGATTCTCTAGTTAGGTGCCTTTTCTAGAGCTATGGGAATGCATTGATCCTTTTCAAAATTTAATTTTAGAAGGTTGTTCATAAAACTTCATGAGCATCCTTCTGTAGGGGTAAAAGGCAGGAATTAAGTGAAATAAATGACAACCCTTATTGGAAGCTTCCATATCAAAAAAAAAAAACCCATGAATTTCAGAAGTGGACATTCTTGGGAGATTTGAAAGAGACTGGAACAAACCAATCAAAATTGACTGATGAAAAGTATGCAGGAATTCTCAGTGCTCAAAAGATGGTGCTAAATTAATTACAAGTTGTACACCTTGTACTTCAAGGAAGAATCTATTCATGCAATCCAGACAGCAAGGGCCCCCTCTCCTTGGCTCTTTTCTGTACAGAAATTAAATTTTGTTTAAATGAAAATGAGGGAACATTTATTTGTGTCATTCCAAATTATGACATAATCATACTATTTAGAACAAACAAGCTTTATATACTACATTTTCTCTGTAACTCTGTTGATTGTAACAGGACTTGTATTACTCATGTGGGACACAAACACAAGGAAGAAAATTGTACATTTTCTTTCTCCCTGGAGTTTGGGTTTACATGTGTCTGTCTTGAGAGCCAGCCAGTCAAGCACTTGTTATTCCTCAAAATCTTGCATTTATGAAATGCATAAAAACAGAAGGAGCTTTTCTTTTTTTTTGTTTTGTTTTTAACAAGAGACTCTATTCTTTAGAGCAGTTTTAGGTTTATAGATTAATTGAGTAGAAAGTACAGAGAGTTCTTACAGACTCTCCCTACACATGTAGTTTTCTTTTTCTTCTTAGAGATGCAGCTTGGAATAATGGGGAGGGTTTAAACAGTCCAGTTCAGGGATGTGAGTTTAAATCATAACTCTGTTATTTATAAACAGTGTGGTCTCTGGACTTCAATCTTTGTCTCTGAAAATTAAGAATACTAACACGTACATAGCATGGTTATTCCAAAGATCAGAAATAGTATAAATGAAAGTCTAATGAAAAGACAAATGCAATTGATAGTCATCGTCATTTCTAAGCTGGGGTGGGTGGATTCGCCAGTTGGGAGGATTTCCCTTCACCATTGTCTTTCAGGGCAACATTGAGTGGGAATACAGCATAACAGCAGCCACAGGAAAAGTGTCAGCAGAGTAGGTGATGAAGAATCAAGGCTTCACCTCTTTCACCTCTAGAACGAATCCACCACTGGGGGCTGCACAGTCTGGGAACCCCAGGGTAATTGTCACCCCCATAATCATGCAGTCTAGTAAAGTCTTATGGAGAAGGAAACGGCAACCCACTCCAGTATCCTTGCCTGGAAAACTCCACAGACAGAGGAGCCTGGTGGGCTGCAGTCCATGGGGTCGCAAAGAGTCAGATATGCCTGAGCGACTGCGCACACATAGTCAAGTCTGAATGGGCTGTGTAATGTCAGACATCACAGAGCCCAGATCCTTACTCTGGATTACTTTGTCCCCTTTCAATCATTACTTTGTAAAGTGTTCCTTCCCCCAGGAGCACCGAAAGAAAGAAGGAAGGAAGGAAGAAAAGGAAGGAAGGAAAGAATCAATTCTCAGAAGATCTAAGGTTTAAATGATCATGTGGTTTAAGGTGTATGATTATGTGACTGTAACGGATGACATTAGACTACAAGCAAAAGCTGATGCCAGTGGAAGAAACCCAAGCCTTCCCTTCCTCGCAGCTGTGACCTCACACCACCTGGGGTCCCCTGTCGAGGGAGGTGCAACTGAATATGCATGTTAAGAGGTCACTGAAGAAGCCATGACACAGGGCTCTAAGTATGGCAGCCTCACCTCAGACCGAACTATTTCAAGAGGGTCCGCCTCACCTGTCCCATTCATCACTCCCGCCGGAGTCTGTTTATTTAGCCAGACGTGTGGGAGCACCACGAGAAACCAGCATTTGGAACTGGGTTTCAGGAAATGCTGCTGGAACCAGGACAGTGATATTTTTATCTTACCTAGCCAACTGCCAGCTCTTAGTACACGTTTCCTCATGCAGTTTGAACAATGACATAATTTGCTCTCCTTAGAAATTGTTATAGCTTCATGAATTTTATAATAAGAGAAAGCGAAAATGGAGAAAGTGAAAAAGAAATGCACTCGAACCACCGAAGGTTTAGAGGTGGACACATCACCAGAGGGATTTCTGGAAGCCATACTTCAACAAGGCGTGAAAAAAAAAATCACATTCCCCATCACTGGGTCATTCCAGGCATGCTCTTTTTTAGGTCATGCAGCATGCAAGATCTTAGTTCCCTGACCAAGGATCGAACCCGTGGCCCCTGCACAGGGGGTGCAGAGTCCTAACCACTGGACCACCAGGGAACTCCCCAGGCATGCATTTTTAAATACACTTCGCGGAAAAGATGATGGTAAGAAGGCAGCAGGAGGGGTGGTGGTAGGGGGGGCGCTTTTCCTCAGAGCAGAGCATACCTGCGGCATTGTCGAGGCTGAAGGCGATGCGTACTGGCTTATCTGCAGGTACCCTGGCTGTGCTGATCATGTGGGCACCTGAGCCTTGGCCTTCCTCTGGGTCTTCCAGCTGCAAGGACAAGAGAGACCCATGGTCACTTTATCCAACATTGTCCCAAGAGCCCTTTGGAAATTAGAAAAGAAAATTAGTAAACAATGTTTTCTTATTTTAAAGCTGTTTCTAGCTCCTAGCTTCCTTTCCCTACACCTGCTGCATTTAAAATTCTTTTTCTGGCTTAAAAAAAAAAAATTGCTTTGGAAATACATCTAGAATGAGATTTATAGAATGGAACAAAACCTCCACCCACCTCACTTTTTTTAATATCCCCTACACTGACCCGTCCAGCCCTGGCACTTTGAAGTCTTACATAGTGCTTTATTTTTGAGGGGGATAAAGAATCTTAATAAGGCATCAGACAGCTCTTCACACTCAGAAGCCTAAACTGGATCTGAATTATTGATCTGGGAGTGGTAAGAAATGAGTATCGTACCATGGAATTATTTCAATGACTACTACCAAAGACTACTTAAAGACATTCCCCCGTTATATTATGAATAGTATGTGCTTTAAATATCTGATTAACTACCTATAAGTCTATCAAACATTTCTAAAGTAGATATGATAAAAGCAAAAGACAACATAAAATATAAGCAAAAGACAAATCCTAAAACATCCTATGCATACTCCACCCCACCTACTAAATTATCATTGAATTAATAAACTAAGATAGAAATGAATGGAAAAACATACTACAGATAAGATGGGTTGGGGTGGGTGAAAATATATGACTATTTCTTTGTTAAAATAAGAGAATTTAGCCCAAATACATTTTAACAAAGATATTTGATTGTTTTTATTCAATGGAACTAGGAAAAGATGTTATTATAAATACACAATATTCTTGTCATTTAAACCCATATATTTAACGTCTCTATTTTTAATCAAGCATCCCCCTAAGCCCTCTATTTTCCTTCTCATGGAGACAGTAAACCAAAAACTCCAAATGATATTTTAAGGAAAATGTTTCTAAAAATGGCAAAATACAAATCATCTATTTACCCATCCTTAGTGAGATTCTGGGAACTGCTGTAGTAAGGCATTTTCTCACAGCAAGGTTTCTGATTCTTTCCCATAACTTTTCTCTATCTAAAAATAGTGTTCTAGAAAACCAAATTTTGTTTTTACAATTATTTATAGATTCAAAGCAAATGCATATATAGATATATGTATATTTAGACATACATACATATGGAATCATCTTACCCAGTACATGAAAAGAGAACAAGCTTATATTAAACACCTAGTATAGTTTTGGAGAAAAACCAGCAACTGTTTATCACCCAGTTAGAATCATAGTTGGCCCATTCATTTAACACTCCAAGTAGCAATGAACCATAAAGCACTCCAAGTCATGTCATTCTAAGTTAGAAAAAAGTATTAACAGGAAACATTCGACTCAAGAAAAGGGTAATATAAAATCACTGTTACTTGACTCAAAATTTGCTTTATCTTAGCTCTGACATACATTTGTGTGTAGTCTCGTCTGGTTAGAATCAACCATCTCGTTAGCCACCTGTTCCTAGGGAATAGAACAGACTGTCTCAAATTAAACAAAACAAACAATAAAAATCCCCTTAAAGTTGCAGCCAAAAGAAAAAGTCTTATCATCACACCCTGTACCATCACCAAACCATTTTATCGGAACATCTGAGGGTGAAAAGCTTCACTCCTCCTTTGGCTAAATCTCCCAGTGCTTTCCTGCACCAAGGCATAAACCACAAGGGGTGGAAATGTACCTCCGGGGGTTTTGTAGATAGATCCCTGGCAGGGTTTCCAGCCCAGGGGTGGGGGGGGTTGGGGGGTGGGGGGGGGGGTGGGGGGGATGAAATTGATCAACACAGCTAACGAGAGCCCCACCCCTCCACACGACGGAGAACATCTGTCTGCCTCCCAAAGGATGGCGGGCGGCAGCGTTGGGTGGATCTGGAGTTCCACACGGTGTCAGCCCCTGCACCCACTTGCCTTTTCATCACACCGCCTGGGGGAAACGGGCTGATTCCTCCTCGGGGCGGTAGCAGAGCTTTGGTGAAGTTGCTGGTGCTCTGAGCGTTTCGCTGGCCTTTCACACCTGTCGCCTTACCTCACTTAGCTGAGTGTCTGGACTCGAGTAATCCAGGGCCAGCCGCTGCCTTGGCCGGTCGCTGCCTTTGTGGAGGAGAGGCCTGGAGGCAGGGCAGGCTGCACCTGCCGCATAGCAGCCTGACAATCTGAGCAGCGGGGACAGCTGGGAGGGCGGCTCGCTGCTACCTGCCGTCCCCCAGACCCCGGCGTCCCGCGGGGCCTCCCCCTGGTCCGCTTCTCTCCACGACCCCTCTCTCCTTTCCCTGCCTCTCCCGCAGCCAGGATGTTGTCATGCTTCTAGAAAAAGCAAGCGCAAAAGAAAAACCCTCCTCCTGTCAAGAGGCATTGATAAACAGCAAGTTGCGGAGCGTCCAAATGTTTTAATTCATTAGTCCTGGCAAACCTAAAATACAAACAGACTTGCTTCACAAGACAGGAATGTCTTCAGCGTGACCCAATCCGTGTCTGTGTCTATTCCAGCAAACGGGCCGGGAGAGCATGACTGCAGTCAGCAAAAATGTTTCGGCCGCTCCAATCGGCTCCCCGCGACCCGGCCAACTTGGACCGGCCACCGGCCGACTCGGAGGAGATGATAGAGCGATGATTCCGCGGAAGAACGTGAGGGCTGCGGTGGAGCTGCTGTTGGGCTTGATGACTTGATCCCATCTACGATGCAACTGACCGCGCAACGAGAGTCGACGGTAAACAGGCCGGGAGAGTTCAAACTGTCCAAACTTTTTAACAGCCATCAACCTGGAGGTCAGAAGTACTTTAGAAGAATTGGATGTTGGAGTTTAAATAATGAAAGATAAACAAATATTAGGAGGATGCACCAAAACAAATATTGTATATGAACACATATATATGGAATCTAGAAAGATGGTACTGATGAACCAATTTGCAGGGCAGCAATAGAGATGAAGACACAGTGGGGGAAGGAGAGGATGGGACAAATTGAGAGGGGAATGTGGAAACATTTCATTACCATATGCAAAATAGAGAGCCAGTGGGAATGTGCTATATAACAAAAAAAGCTCAACCTGGGCTCTGGGACAACCTAGAGGGGTGGGATGGGTGGGAGGAAGGTTCAAGAGGGAGGGGGCACATGTATACCTGTGGCTGATTCATGCTGATGTATGGCAGAAACCAACATAATGGTGTAAAGCAATTACCCTCCAACTGAAAATAAATAAAAAAGAGAGAATATACAGACTGGGAGAAAATCTTTGCAAAATACATACTAGGCAGATATCCAACTCAGCAACAGGAAAACAATCCAGTGGGCAAAAGCTCTGAATAGACATCTCACAAACAAAGATATACAGACAGCAAATAATCATGAAAAGATGCTGAATAGCACATGTCATTAGGAAGTTGCAAATTAAAGCAAAATGAGATACCCTATTAGACATGCTATTAGAATGGCCAGAATCCAAACACAATGACAACACCAAATACTGGCAAGGGTGAAAAATGGTGTGGCCACTTTGGAAGACAAAGTTTGGTTTGGTAGTTTTCTACAAAACTGAACATATTCTTAGCATATGATCCAGCAGTCACACTCCTTGGTATTTACCCAAAGGAACTGAAAACTCGTGACCACACAAACACTTAGACACAGATGTTTACAGCAGCTTCATTCATGATTGCCAAACCTTGGAGGCAAACAACACATCCTTTCATAGGTGAATAGCTAACAAACTGTTGTATATCCGCACAATGAAATATTAGGCAGTGATAATAAGAAATAAGTTATCAAGCCACAAAAAGACATGGAGGAAACTTAAGGGTGTATTTTTAAGTGAGAGAGGCCAGTCTGAAAAGACTACATACTGTATGATTCCAACTATACGACATTCTGGAAAAGGCACAATTATGGAGGCAGTACAAAGACCAGTAGTCGCCAGGTGTTTGGGGAGAGGGGACGAGGGGTGGAGAGGGAGTGGGGGATAAATAGATGGCACGTGGGGGTTTTAGGGCAGTGAGACTATTCTGTATGACACTCTAATGATGGATTTATGTCATTATACATTTGTCCCAACCCATAAAATGTACAACACCAACAGTTACAAACTACAGACTTTGGTTAATAATAATGTGTCTATATGGACTCATCAACTGTAACAAATGTACCATACTAATGCAAGATGTTAAGAATTAGGGAAATTAGGGGGGAAGTGGAGGGAGGAGATAGATGGGAACTGCATGATTTTCACTCATTTTTCCCTGTAAACTTTAAATTGCTCAAAAAAAAATGCTAAATAAATAAGTAAAAGGCTATAGCAAGTTTCCTTGCTCTAATGAATAAAAGGCTAATTTGCTATGCTACATACAGTGTGTGTGTGTATGTGTGTGTGTGTGTGTATGCTCAATTGTCTGACTTTTTGTGACCCCATGGATTGTAGCTCACCGGGATCCTCTGTCCATGAGATTTCCCAGGTAAGGATACTGGGGTGGATTGTCATTTCCTCCTCCAGGGGGATCTTCCCAACCCAGAGATCACACCCACATCTCCTGTGCTGGCAGGCAGCTTCCTTACCACTGCACCACCTGGGAAGCCCATAAACAGTAATAAGAGGTATAGATTCAAACGATTAAAAGCATTCATATATATATGCCTATTTGCATTTCTAATGGCAAATCTTTCCAGAAATTTTGTGTTTGATGTTATTTTATGGTTAATAACATCATTTATCTATTGCATTAAAATTTATCAAAGAGTCTTATCCAAAAGCAGAGAAGGCAATAGCAAGCCACTCCAGTACTCTTGCCTAGAAAATACCATGGACGGAGGAGCCTGGTGGGCTGCAGTCCATGGGGTCACTACGAGTTGGACACAACTGAGCGACTTCACTTTCACTTGTCACTTTCATGCATTGGAGAAGGAAATGGCAACCCACTCCAGTGTTCTTGCCTAGAGAATCCCAGGGACGGGGGAGCTTGGTGGGCTGCGGTCTGTGGGGTCGCACAGAGTCGGACACGACTGAAGTGACTTAGCAGCAGCAGCAGCAGCTTATCCAAAAGAGGTTCATCTTCATCTTGCCAATAATCCTGTGAAATAAACATGGTTGATACTGTCATCTCTATGTAATGGATGAGCACACCGAGACTCAAATGATTTAAGTAACAGGTTCAAGGAGAAATGATGATCATGGAATAGCGACCCAGGAAAGATTCGGGTTTTCTTATTTGGGGGCTTCCCTGGTAAAGAATCTGCCTGCAGTGCAGCAAACCTGGATTCGATCCCTACGCTATTTCCGCTGTACCGGGAGGCACTCTGTATGGAAGATCAGATTGGGTAGTTTTGTGAACAGAGCCTGACTCTCGAATGTCCTTGGTGGTCCACTGTTGAAGGAACCACCTGCCAATGCAGGGGACACATATTCGATCCCTGGTCCTGGAGGATCCCACAGGTTGCAAGGCAGCTAAGCTTGTGCATCACAACCGCTGAGCCAGCGATCAAGACCTGTGGGCCACAACTACTGAGCCCGCGCACCTTGAGGCTGGAATGAAAGAAGCCACCTCACCGCGAAGCCCACACACCAAAACAAGAGTCGCCGCTGCTCACCTCAACTAGAGAAAGCCCGTGAGCAGCAACCAGCGCGGCCAAAAACAAACAGCAAATAACAATGTCTGACTCTCAACTTTGGGTCTGAAGGAGATGAAGGATACCCTTCTTCATGGTCTAGCATCTAGGTTCCCCGACACCATCTTTACCGTGACACCTAAATTCAACCTCAAGGAAACTGAAGTTTGTGGATCCTGTGTGTGCTGATGAGGAAGTGGATACCAATTCTGCCCTGGCTCGCAAATAAGCTCCTGGGTGTGCCTTCAGGAAAAACTGGTGGCGGCAAGGATGTGGCCAAGGGAATCAGTAACTGGAGGCATCTGGAGTCCAGTGAAACTGACCCTTCAGGATGGAAGGACCCAGAAGGAGGTAGCATCTTCTTCCTCTGCCCTGATCATCAGAGCCCTTGGCGAGACAACCAGAGAAAGAAAAGGCAGTTATTAGACTAGACACAACAAAAACATTGCCTCTCATGATGTTGTCAAAAGCACCTGACAGATGTAGGCTTTTATACAGAGAATTCTCCAGCATCTTTATAGCAGTCCTGGGGACCACCCATGGTGTGGGTTGCTGCATTCTCCTGACATTAGCAGCGGTGTGATGACGCCCAGTGGGTAAAGAAATGCAAAGCAAGAGACGTCATTAAAGGATGATGGCAACCACAATAGAGGAAAGAAAAGACTACGTCTCAATATTCTAAATGTGCTCTGTCCAAGCCCAATCACACAAATTCAAGGCTTTAAATAATCATATTCACCAGTTCTTCTGTTCCCATGGGAGCACTGGTGTATTTCTTGGCTCTTTATCTAAACACTTCCAAGAGGGTAACAAATCTGAAACCCAAGTGAAATCCCTTCCCACAACTGTAACCC